GGGTAGGATTTAATGTATTACTTTAAAAGCTATCTTTCTCTAGAAGGCGTCATCAATCATTTTTCATAACAGGAAATGGTACTTCTAATTGTAATGGGTACTCACGCGTCAGATATATTTGATACAACAGCTGGCATCTTTATTTGTATGTTTGCTATCCAAATGAAACTTTAAAGAGTTCATATCTTGTAAATTAACTAATGTATAAAGCATTTTTATTTTTCATATTTTAGTATCCTACGTACTTGCGCGCTTAACATACGCGTTAATGTATGTAGCATATGCAATGTGGATTCCAATGTTTCGAATACATCTTATCACTACTGCATGGGGGATTATTATTCCTTCTTCCCTTTGGTTTGCTGCGATTTTTGCACCACAGAACTGTGTTGTTATTATGTTGTGGGCTTCTGTTGCATTTGGTTTGTTGATTCAGTTTTTTTTTGATTATTTTTATCGAAATTCTTAAATTAATAATCAAATTCAATTAAATTATAAGAATTATTTTGGTATGGTAAGTTATTTCACGATTATGAATAGAGTTATATATTTCTTGTAAAATTTAATTTCATAATTTATCATCTATATTACTTAGGTTTTGTGCCAATATATTACCGTTGCCGTAAGAATCCAGCGAATCACATAAATACAAGAGATTTTAAATCCGCAGACGAACCAACCTTGACAATGGATTCAACCAAATCATCACCACTCACTCCACATAAGGCAATGAGAACAAAAGGAACAGAATTTCGTTGGAAATGGACTGATATATTTTCTGTACTTAAACTTACGGAATATAGGACTGCCTTAAATATTGAACATTTTAGTGAAAGATTAGGATTATTTGTGGTTATTTGTTTGGGTGAAAGTGTAAGCATATTCTTTAATTTATACTCGTTTATAAGAATTATTACAAAATATTAAAATTATTGATTTCATAGATTTTTAACGTGATTTATACCAGCTTAAATAAATACCCTGACATTTTCCTTGCCAAGGTATAGCTCGTTATAGGCATCTTTTAAACACCATTATGATCTAACTATTATCTGATATAGGCAATTCTAGGTCTAGTAATAGCTTATAATTTGCATTGGATATATTTTGATGTCGATGCGAGCCGACAATATCAACATGCATTGCGAAGGCACGTTATTACTGGTCTCTTATTTGGATTAACACATATTCCCCTTGTAAGAAAGATACTTATCATTATAATTTGCTCAAATATGGATATCATTTAATTTTTTATAATTTAACTATTAACAGTTCATGGCTTTAATTGCTTTTGGGTATGTTTTATCTTTTTTTCTTGTTATATATTGATGTCTGAGATTCATATATTTGACCTTTGTAGGAGTTCTCTTGGAAAAATTGTAATACTTGCTGATTTCCCTGATGCCGAACACATCCCTAAGCCTATTTCCTTAAAAAAGGAAGCAGAGGGGGAAGAAAGTGAATTGTCAACTCCGCTTGCAATATTGTTCTGTGCTTCATTAGCAGTTGCAATGTATTGTATGACTATTATCGGCACTTTACATAAAAGTTTGGACTCTGTAAATTGTACAAAAATTTCAAAGGTGAACAATAATATTACCATTTGTAAATGTTTGTTTTTTCATGGTTAATATGCATATTTATCAATATGAACATTTTTTGAAGGCTCCGCGACTATTACTACGATTTGTTATTGGCACATTATATCTATTATTACCACTTGCACATCTAAGCTCTCTAAATTTATTAATAATTGTATCAATTTTATCAATGTTCATGGTAATCGTAGAAACATATGGTAGATTAAGTTGGAATTCTCCACTATTTGGCAATTGCGAAAAGGATGTTAGTCATGAATATGACGAAGAGGATGAAGCAAAAAGATATGTGCGTTGGAGATGGGGATCTGCAAATTTAAATAAGCGTAGTTTTTCGAGAGGATTCTTTAGACGAACGAAGTCGAATAAAAATGAAAAGATCGATGGTGGCAGTAATGATGATAATGTGGATGTAGTGGTAAAATGAATTTATCACTGAAGTAAAGTCAGACTCCTAAATCAAGCTTGACCCAAATATATATGCTTGACTCTTATAAATGTCAAAGTTTAATTCCTACGAGCTGAATTTAGGGAGGTCTGACTATTTGTAATAATAATTGACTATATTTACGTATAAGAATTTGAGAACTGTCCATAAATGTATACAATATTTGTGTTTTATAATTTATTTAAAAAGTATAAATAGTATTATAAATCCACCTAATCATAAAGCTCCTCCAATTCAAAGTCTTTAAATTCATTGATCCACTCGGCACCCATTTGATTATCATCTATATGTACTTCGGGCTCATCGTTTGTAAGCAATTGCTCGGAATTTCCTGAAAGGGCTGTGTGTATTATTGTTTCAAATTTTTCCTAGTATCCAAAAAAAAAAAAATCACTAATGCAAGAAGTATTTATAAATAAAAGTGCAATGACTTACCAATCGCCACTCATCTATCCATCTACCAAACATTGCATATCGTTCACTATGCGTCATCCGGAGGAACTCGGGCATGGACGTGGCGGTTAAGATAATTTGTGCAGTGAATGGATTAATCAATGGAGAAAAACATGACAAAAATTTTTCATGCTTTATTGATTTCATAAATAAATAAATCGAGTTAGATATATATTCTTAGCAAGTTAACAAAAACTTTTAAAATATTACCAAACTTTCTTCCATAGTCATCCAATCTCTACTTTCCCATTGCTGGCGATCTTGTCCTCTTTCTTCTTCACACTTTGAAGCACAGAGATCACCTATCAATCTCGCAAGTCGTGCGGACATTTCTTCACATGAAGAAAATACTATATGTGCATCACACGAATAACGCGTTAAGACGGCTTGCAATCCTGCAACAGCCTTTAAAACAGGTAAAGTATATGAATACGGAAGAATGCATTCTGCATCATTGTCATGAGTTGCTCTATTATTCCATGTGTAAGTCTCCAAAATTACATATAAGCTCGAATATTTTTGTGCAAGACGAATGATTGTTCGAGCAATGGTTGGGACGGATTGCTCTTGAGATATTAAATTGAGAGGATAATATATAATTCCAGTCCTTTCATCTATAATCAGATCGCAGTCTATGTAAGATGTTTCTAATTCATCATTCGGTAATAAAGGCTGTAGGATATTTGACAGAGGTTTGTTAAATTTATATAGAATAATATGAATAAAATACGCAAATTTCAATAACTTACTCTTAAGTATTCGAAATCACGTTCAAAAACTTCAACCTTGCAATAAATGCCTTTTAAATTTAATAACAGGCCACGATTTGCCAAAAGTCGGGCCGATACGATGTATTTATGAGTAACTATTGGCATTGGCATATTATCGATGATAGTTTTTGCCACTATTAAGACATGTAAATATGTTATTATGCTACACAGTCTATCGTTATGAATTCTATAATAAATTGTTCTAGGATACTTACTAACGTGAGCATTCTGCACACCTCGAATATTTCTGCCATTGTCAGTAAACTGTGACCCCGAAGAGGGGATTCTGTGTGTATAACGAGTATATCCATATGTATGGTCGTTTGGCGTGTTATTGACACTAGGAACTATTTGTTTCGATTCTTTTGCAAAATTCCGTAATATTTATAAGTCGTTTCTTTGCGTTGAACTTAAAACAATAGTTGGTTTACCTTCACCACTTTTGTTTGCAGAATGAAATCTTTTTTTTAAATCAATATTTCGATGTTTATTTGGTGCAGGTTTTCCACGCAGAATCAAGAAATCATCTATCGACTTTGTTGCAGAGAAAGTGTCAGCGAAATATCTAGATTTGACAATGTTTGGTTTGGTGGAAGAGTTTTGTATATCCTTAAAATCAAATAGTGTTTTCGATGAAACCTCATTACATATGGAAGAAGTGTTTCGAAGGGTGTTAAAGTTTTGCTGTTCATTAAAATACAATAAAGAATCTTCAACTGGGACTTCACCATCGGTAGGTGAAAAATCCGATAAATCTACATCATTTGTGTGAACATCGTTATCCTTATTTGATTTGTCGTAACTGGAAAGCCCAACTGGAACTCCTTTTTGGTGATGAGACTTTAGGTGGGAATGAAGTAGATCTTTTTTCGCAAGCATTTCTTCGTGCATTTTTTTCCCTGTTGTCAGATATGGATCATGAATTTCAAATTTCACATTTATTGTATCCAAAATGTCATCATCGTTAGCACAACTACATAATTCTTCAAGAATATCTGATATCTCTTGGGATGGAAGATTTACATCGACGATTTGTTCAAATTCTATGTGAGAGGTATTTTTAATTGGATTCCAATGTAACTCAAACTCCAAAGCTTTCATTCCACTAAATGATGTCAATATTTGAAAATCAGAATGCGTTGAATTTGGATGCGCAATCAAATCTGAAATTTGAGTTGGTATTAAAGGGAATGAAACCCCATCATCATTTACACTTCCTCTGGTAATTTGAGAGACAGGATGGGGTAATTGCGGAACTTTTTTTTTAAAAAAAAAAAAAATAGAAAAATTAACATTTTAATAAACTTTTACGATCATAAATCATTAAATAGATGAAATGTCGTATAGGTGGGCATGATTATTTAATCATTAACATATAACTGCATTAAATTACCCTTGAATTTCAATCCTTCTAGTTCATCCATTGATTGCCACATAATGACAGATTTCCAGTTTTCATCTGGGTTTTCAACTTTCAACATCTTCTCAAGGTCCGATTGAAGCGCTGTCTGATCTTCTAATTTCTGATGCATAAAGGTAGCATCTTCGGATATTACGGACTTTATTGTTTGTGCCAAAGAGTCCGTTCTAAAGATCAAGATGCTTTATAAGTTGTGCATACCTTAGAGAAAAAAGCGAATAAATTAAAAAGAAAATACATTGTCACGTCTTTGTCATCCACATTTCCAGTCTCTGATCCAAAATCGGTTTTACTAAATATTATTATTGATACGTCTTAAACAAAATTGACCTAGAATACTTAGCAACAATAATATGCTGAATATCTCCTTACCACCGTTTTCTGCGATCTATTTCCAAAGGATCATATCTTGCGGGTATCATTGCAGGTTCTCCGTTTGTCAAACAAAATAGGCTTATGAGTCATTATATATATTTGTATTTGTGTAGGTGGAATACATGGCAAATGCATATATATATACCTAACTGAATGGACTCTCGGGAAGCCAAAAATGGATCGAATGATACATCAAATTCTACATAATTATAGTCTGGAATTCCTTCAATGTCAAAAGTTGACTCATCAATCCCTTCTTAATGAAATAATATGATTAAGCAATGGAATGGTTCGAAAACTGGATAATGGAAATCATATACATTACCCCATTCATTCAACATCTCTAAAGGTGCTTTAACACCAGTTTCTTCAGGAACTAATTGATCATTCTGAACATTTATATCAATCTCATCTATAATTAGAGGAACAATTTCAATAATTTTATTTGGCAGATCTTGTGTGCTTTTATTAGCTTTTATTGAAATTAGGGGTTCTTCAATGTAATGATCCTCAAACTTAAATTCATTGATAGAAACACTAAAATCATTATCGTTGCGAACGTCATTTTCCTTTAAGAATGATATAATACTGGCAATGTCATCTATCACTTCTTCATGATGCGATAAACTTATAAAAATAAAAGCAAAATTTTTTAAAATTCTGAAGGAATAGATTGTAAACTAATACCCGATTAAGAATATTATACCACAAATCATCCAATGTAAATTGTTGCATTTTGCTTTCCGCGAAAGGTTCAGAAGAAACATCCGTAGTTGGTAGTTGGGTTGACAACTGTTTTAAAGTCGGTATAGAATACAGATCGAATTCATTATTTTTTTGTATGCGACTTGAAAGTAATGGTTCTTCCATAAAATAGGATTCACGAGTTGCTACATCTTTTAACAAAAGGAAAAAATATAGTTTAAAAGTGATTTTTGCTTATATCGAAGGAATTAATCGATACCTTCATAAATGTCACAACATAGATTTAGATCTTGAATCTTGAGGTCGTTTAACACCTCTGTAAGGACAATGGTTGCGTCCAAATCATTTAAACACAATTTTTCTAATAATTGATTCTTTCTAGATATTTTATTTTCAGAAACTAAAAGTAAAATAGATTCTTTCTCATTTTGTGGCACATAAAGGTAGTCTAACGGAACTTGTGCAATTAGTTCTTGCGTATAATCTTTTTGATTTTACCGTGTGTTAAAAAGCGAATGATGTCAAAAAATTAAAATTTAATGTCATTTATTAAAATTCAGGCAGAAAGACGATTACTTTAAAATACCATCATTTGGTAGGTTCAAGAGTTTTGCACATTCCAACAACTCTACACGAAAATTATCATCCTCCATTTTATTTGTATGCCAATGTTATAGTTTAAAATTTAAAGAAATAACATTGTTCTGATTACACTATAATAATAAGGTGCATAAATAATACCAGTGACGTGATAAAGCTGCAAAATTTCTTAAATACCAGACTTCTGGCTTTCAAAAGTTTGTTATTTACCGGGCTCGGTGCTGACATGCAATGTATAAATTACGTATTATATGTGTCTAAATGATCAGAGTTGAGCCCGATAAACTTGAATGCCTGAATTCTGGTTTTCTCTTGGCGCATAGCAAAAAATGTTCCTTCCACTAACATTACATAAAAAGCTTTCACGTACTAACCTCTTGGCTAAAATACAGTATAATAATATATGTAATGAAAGAAAAGCATTTGGCAAACATATTTCCGCTAATAAATGAACAGTTGAAAGAAACCTTCTCAAGGATTGACATATATTACTGATTATACATAATATTAATTTAATATCTTGATTAATTGATTGAAACAAAGTTTCATTATATACAATACAGAGAAAACTTACTATCAGTCAACTAATTAATTAAAATTTTATAAATTTAAGCTAACTTAAATTAACAGACTTTTCGGATGGTAAAGGATCATCTTTTATGTTTTGTTGAATTTTTAAAATAACTTCTTTAGCAGCATCGGGAATTTTAGTACCAGGTCCAAATATTGAACTGACACCTGCATCGTATAAGAACTTATAATCTTGATGTGGAATAACACCCCCAACTACCACAACTTTGTCATTTATACCAAGCCTCTTAAGCTCATTTATAAGTGCCGGTATCAGTGTCTTATGTCCAGCAGCCTGTGAAGAAACTCCAATCACATGGACGTCATTGTCAATGGCTTGACGTACTACTTCTTCAGGTGTACTGAATAATGGAGATAAATCGACATCAAATCCAAAATCACTGAAAGCTGAAGCAATCACCTTGGCCCCTCGATCATGTCCATCTTGACCACATTTTGCCACCAAAATTCTTGGGTTAACACCCAATTTTTCTTTCGTTTGCTTTATAGTATAAATAATATGAGTACATTTACTGATAATTTTCAACGATTAACTGAATACAATATGATATTAACCTCTACTAATTTAATTGTTTCTTCTGTTTCTTCCGCAGTTCCATAAGCAGATTTGTAAGCACCACTAGCAACACGACTCGTTGGTTCATGACGCCCCCATACTTTTTCAAGTGCATATGATATTTCACCCACAGTACATCGCACCTTTGATGCCTTTAATGTCAAAAAAATCCCAATTACTATGTAATTCGGATTATTATAGGCCAAACCATCGATCTAAATAGGTTTAATACCTCAATAGCTAATTCCAGTAAATTGCCATTTTCCGTTCTTGCACATTCTTCTAGAGCGTTTAATGCATTTTGTGCCTAAGGAAAAAATATATATATTATATATATAAGCATTATGTAACATTATTGAACCGGAATTTTATATACTAACTCGAGCCTCGTCTCTCGCCGCCTTGACATCGTTTATGCGTTTAATTTGCTCTTCTCTTACTTTAGTGTTGTCAATAGTACGGACCTCAATTTCTGTCTCATTGTCAAGACGGTATTTGTTTACTCCAACAATTATCTCTAAATTTCAAAGAATATATGTATTATTTGGATACAAATAGAAAGATGTGTCAAAATGAAAAGCCAACCTTGACCAGAATCAATTCTGGCTTGTCTTCGGGCTGCACTTTCTTCAATTCTTAACTTTGGCATACCACTTGCAACAGCTTTTGCCATACCACCCATTCTCTCTATTTCTTCCACAACTTCTCTTGCAGCATAATAAATCTCATCAGTCAAACTTTCCATCATATAACTACCTCCCCAAGGATCTGCAACTTTTGGAATAAAAGCTTCTTCCTGGAGAATAAGTTGTGTATTTCTAGCAATTCTAGCTGAGAATTCTGTCGGAAGCCCTACTGCTTCATCAAATGAATTCGTATGAAGGGATTGTGTCCCTCCTAATGTGGCGGCCATTGCTTCTATAGTAGTTCTTATAATATTATTATATGGATCCTATAATAATTAGTCAATGTTAATATTTTCTAAATAACAAGAATTTAACAAACAGGAACCCACCTGTTCAGTAAGTGACCAACCGGATGTTTGACAATGTGTACGTAACATTAATGATTTTTGATTTTTTGGATTAAAATGTTCTTGAATAATATGAGCCCATAAGCGGCGAGCTGCCCTCATTTTTGCAATTTCCTGTTTATTTATAAAAGTTGAGATAGATATTAGTAATTTTAACTAAAACAAAGTCAAACAATCATAAATTTATTATAATTACCATATAAAAATTCATTCCAATACCCCAAAAGAAAGACAATCTTGGAGCAAATTGATCAATTGTCATTCCCGCTCTGATACCTATTAAAATTTAATATGAAACATTAGATGTATAAAGCATTAAACCATGGTTTAAAATCTTAATGATCTTTACCTGTTCTAGCATACTCTAAACCATCAGCAATTGTGAAAGCTAATTCAAGAACATTGTCAGCACCAGCTTCTTGCATATGATAGCCAGATATTGAAATTGAATTATATTTCGGCATATTCTGCGTAAACCAAAAATAAATAAAAGGATTTCTGAAAAAAGAACACTAATTATAACATACCTTTGCAGTGTAAGCAAAAATATCACCAATTAACTTCATTGATGGTTCTGGCGGGTATATGAATGTATTTCGAACCATAAATTCCTTCAGAATATCATTCTGTATAGTGCCAGCCAATTCTTTTAATTGAGCACCCTGCTCTAAACCCGCGACTATGTACATAGCTAGAATTGGTAACACAGCACCATTCATTGTCATAGAAACAGACATTGTTTTAAGCGGAATTCCATCAAAAAGAACCTATTATTCAGAAAATATTATCAGAGAACTACATTGGCAGAAATTGAATAAGCTCAAATTTTTAGACAAACCTTCATGTCCTCTACCGAATCAATTGCAACACCAGCCATACCAACATCACCTACTACGCGCGGATGATCCGAATCATAACTGAACGTAATAAATAAATAGAAAATATGTTAGTGCATGCGCAATTATGAAAGATATATTTATTTTTGAATTTACCCTCTATGTGTTGCCAGATCAAACGCAACAGAAAGACCTTGTTGACCTGCAGCCAAATTTCTTCGATAAAAAGCATTTGACTCTTCCACCGTACTGAACCCTGCGTACTTTATGTATAATAATGTAAATAAATAGTAATTTGATTATAACCATATAGAACGATCATCACCTGTCGAATAGTCCAAGGCCTCGCTGTATACATAGAAGCGTATGGACCTCTTGTAAAAGGAAATTTTCCCGGGATTTCATTTTTAATGAGTTCAGCATCCACTTTTGTATAAACAGGCTTCACATCTATTCCCTATAATTTTTACGAAATAAATTATTAATTGAATTATTAGAATCAAATATTTTAGCTAATAGAAACCATATTTACTTCTGCGGTATGCCATGTTAACACTTTCTCTGGATCTTTACCCTTTAATTCCTTCGCAGCAAGTTCAACCCATTCTTTGTCCAAAGGAACTTTAGTTCGGTTAAAAGAGGCGAACGTCTAATAAATTCATAAAACAAAAGCAGATAGAAAATCTTTAAATAAAAAACGATTTAAATTCCAATTGATTTTTTTTTCTTTTGTTCAAATATTCAGTTTTCTATATATTTTGTATGAAAACTTTACGAATTTATCTTGGTCAAAAAGCTTTTTGTTTTTACCCTTCGTTGCACATATCTCGTAAATGCACATTTAAAGCCACCAAAAGCGATAACGCGTTGCATCTTTTTTCTTGAGAAATATACAAAACATATACAAATAGATTTACCAAAGGAAAATTTTGTCCGTTAACGTCGGGAAAAGGTACGTTTATCAATCAAACGTAAACCATCAATACATCGATTTGCATCAAAATATCACCTGATATAATCACGCCACTGTGTAATGTCGTTAAAAGATAATTAGCTGATACTACGTAATGATTATCGTGAAGTGGGCACAAAAATTATTAAAGTACTTAGCTTTAGAGGTTTAAAAATTTGTATAACGAAATTTCAAAGAATTCTTTTCAGAACGCATAAGTAGTTAGGTCTTGATTCATTTTGACTTTATGCACTTTTTTACTACTTGGGTGTCTCTTGATTCTAATCTATGCATAAGACTAAAAATGTGGAAGATCTGAACAGCAAACTTCCTTCACCCGCTCCGACTGCTTATAACTAGCGAATGTTAGAATTAATGGTTTGTCTGCCTGAACTGCTACAGACAGAAGGGTATAGTTTCTAAAAGAAGTAAAAATTATACTTATCTGTTAAACATTACTACAAACCTATAAAGGATCTCTGTAGCCATATCATTGTTATAGTACTGCTGTAAAGAAGATTATAGTACTGTAACAATATATTAACTTTTCTATATAAAGCTACTGAGACTTAGACTAATTTATTTATATATAATCTAAACCTATTAGAGAGCATAGCAGAAGTTTATTTTAATTAGATAAAATTTAAATGAATATAATTGGTGATGATCTTTTATTTATATAATCAATTGTAATTTTTTTTTATCTTCACAATGTTATAAACAGATAAATTTTTATTAAATATTTTAATAGTACATTCTTGGTTAATAAAAGTATATTTAGCCATATATACAACTTTTGGTTGTTTATTTAAGTAGTCCATCTAAAGGTTCTATACTGTTATATTAGCAAATTTATTAGTCAAATTTATTTAGATTATATTATATTTTATTAAACAATTTTTATTAGTCGAATTTTATTAATAATTTTTATTATATATTTATTATATATATATATATTTTTTTTTTTAATGTTAAGGTGACCACTTTGGGGTCTGGCATGTTTTATTAACTTTGGATCGAAAGTCAGGGCAACCACAGGGCTACCCCTGACTTTGTTACATTAATGAGGATACATACTAGCCATATGTACAACTTTTGGTTGTCTATTT